GCATGAATTCATTTTATTTCGTTGGTTCTCGTCAGCTGCTTACAACCTGTGATATTTAAAATCATAATTAATGGGTTTAAATTACTTACATAAAAGAGTTTGATTGGAAGTTATATTAAAGACATATTCATATAGTATAGCAAGGGTGTAAATAAATTTAATAGACTGAATATTGTAAATATATACCTTATGTGATGAAAGAACATTGTGATAACAGTTCAAACGGTTAGAAACAAATAAACATTGATAGGAATAAAATGAGTAGAGTTCAGTTGATAAAATAATGGTGTAATAAATGCAAGAAAGAGTTTAAAGAAAAAGAAAAAAAAATTATTAAGATATAACAAAGGGATATTAATCACCAAGGCAAGGAAAGATTAATAACCATCTCCTTTTGAACATATAAATCAGGCTTTTGGCGCCTGATAGCAACTGCTTCAGCAAAATAAAAATGAATTCTTGCTATTCTGCTAGAATATTTGTTCTTGCTCTTTTCAAAATGGCTTATTGATGAATTCTTTTATCTTTTCATACAAATAACCATATTCTAAAAGATACATATAAGCTTGTTTTAAATAAGCATCTAGAATGTGTTTCTCTTCTATTATCCAAAATAGAGTTTCAGCAAGTATTTCTAAAGGGAAAAAAATGAATGAAAACTAAATATGAAACATTTATTTATTTAAACACATAAACATTGATACAAGGAAGTACTAAATATATATGCACCACATAAATCATTCGGTTTATTTGAGGGCTGGGATACTGTCCGGGTACTCAAACTGAAACAAGTGGTTTTGTTAGGTGGCCATAACCGGAGCCTTCGACCTAAAGGTCTGACCCACATAATAATTATTATAGTAATATACAAACTAAATATTTCTAAATATTGAATCCTATTTAGTACAAACAAACTGATTATCATTTTTAGATGTTAAAATTATATGAAATTAAGAAATTGGTTCAGTTTCGGTTTCATGTTGTTTTCATTTATTAAAAATAATACAACTATATAGACCATAAGATTTTTTTATGAAAGGCGTAATAATCCATCCTCAATTAACTTCCACATCCACCTGTTAATTGCCTTATAGAGATACATTTTCAGTATCACCCCAGTTGATAACATTGAATATCTGATAATTATTGATGATATATTTTTTGTAGTAAGCTGGATAGCTAGATAGAACTGTGATGAATAGTCTTTTATGGTTATTTAGACATTCAAATCAGGTTTGTAAGTAAACTTACTTTAATGTGGTCACTGGGTTTCGGCTTACAATTCCTATCTGGAATGTTGCTGGTTTCAGTCACTGAATAAGTACATGATCACAAATACTGTAATGAACAAATACACAGCCACTTTTCTGTTGATCTTATAAAACTTTTATTTTTCATTTGATGGTGAAATGCTGTCTTGTCCGCGTGTATATAAACCACGTATGTCTGAAATGTACGATTTGAACAGTGGGTACTGAGATTGTGTTCTGGACTGAACGGGGTGGGCTAGACAAGAAGACTAGTAAGGATTCAGAGTTGGATTTAGGCTGCTAGTTCTGCTTGATGTGTCGTTGACTTAGCATAGGAACAAGGTCATTTAAGTCTGTATTCTGATTGGCGATTTTTTCACGTGATCATTGACTGGTGGGAAAGTCACAACAAGATTAGGCGCAAAAACAGTTAGCGCAACTGATGGAAAAGGAAAAAATATTTGTAAATTAGTTGCTATATTGTTATGAATCATTGAATAGGATCAATAAATTATTGGGTTTACAAATGATGAGTTCTCTTCATACCAGTGATACTAACGATCTGACCAATAACATCAATGATCACCAACTATGATCAGATATCTTAAGACCTACTGGTCCACGTAGATTATTCCATACCCCTTCGCAAAGCCCAGTCAAAACACGAGTGCAGCTAACCGATTTGTTTTCTATTTTCATGATTTAATAACTCACATGATATTACCGATGACTTATAAAACTACATGATATCACCAATCGAAAATTACAGTGTACATAATTAGGTTATTTGTGATGAATATATATATATATATATATATATATATATATATATATATATATATATATATATATATATATATCACATTTCTACCATTCTGATTTGTTCTCCCCGATTTAACATATACAACTCAGATCCATTTTAAGTTTGCTTTCAATATTAAGTTAATTTACTGATATGCATCAATATACGTTAAGGTGACTCAGTGAGGAGGTTTTCCTATGACACATTCACGGATAATAAGGCAACTGGAAAAGACTATACGAAGCTTAGCAGCATAAGATGCATTTATAAAAGATATCGTCAAATGTTTTCGATGCATATAAATACTTTCGATATGCTTTGAATGTACTAGATGAATCGATATATTTATCTACTATAACTACGTAAGAGTAAAGCAAATCACTCAAAATTTGACTAATTCTATCAGTAATAGGTGAGCAAGTGATCATTAGAGAAGTATGTTTTTAAAATAATTCTTAACATTATTACATTTTAATCATGATAACTGACGATCCAGATTCCATTATTATTAGTAGTTCAATGGATAAAAAAAAGGCAAAATGTTAGGACAGTCTCGCATTTCGGTACGTATGGTAAACAATTAGAAAAAAAAGAATCTAACATTCTTTCAGGATAATTATACACTAATTCATGTGAACTATGCGTTTTTTTATGTAAATTCTTTCTAAAATTACCTGGGAAATTTACATAAACAGAGTTATTCCTTATAGATTCACTAATTATTGTGTAACTATTTAGTCGGCTTTCGACAACTACAACGGAGCCTCCAGGGGCCCTAAAGGAGCAGACAAGTTGCCAGCCAATCAGAACATGATGGAGTTTTCTAGAATATTGTGGCATGATATTATTGGGCAGTAGCATAATTTGTCTCTGGGAGTTGGCCGAATTATAATGCTGATTTAACAAATGCTAAAATCTATAAATACCCGTGGTTTTTTGTACATTTTGATTCTCCAGCTTTTCTTCTGTCTTCTGATTTGAGACGATGAAGTTCCAACGTTCGAGTGTTGTAGGCGTAAACCGTATTCTGCGTTAATCAAGTAGCGAACTTAACAGTACCGAAATCACAAACATTATTGCATACAATTTTTACTTTATATTGTTCAATATATTAATTTGGATTTATAATTGGACCAATGTAAAATTAAAAAAATTGTGAAGGTAAATGGATCGATTGATGCACAATAGGTTATAATGATTATAAAGCAATTGTATTTTTTCTACCTAATAACAACAATTTTACCATTAAGAAAATTTTACACATTAAGTTGACCGAATTAAACGTATAATTATGTAGACAAATAGGAAAAGAATTGAATTTAGAAAGTTAAAAAATAATATTTTCTTTTAAAATTCCTAGACAATCTTTCATTTTGTATTGTTTGTTTGAATCTTCCCATTGATGATTAGGACTGCAATTGATCTGTCACCGCATTGCACAAGTTAGTGGCTATCAGGATCCAGCAGCTAAGTGGCATTTGAAACGAACGGTACTGTGTTCGAGTCTTGGAGTGAACATAAACTCTAGGGTGCAGGTACATCCAACTGACGAGTCCTAAATAGAACGAAATGGGCATTCTGGATTTCACTGCTAGCCACCATCCGTCTTTGCTTATAATGCTTGTGACTTAAAGGCAATATTTCATTTAACAATAAGGCTAAATAGAATATTTGTTTTATTGATTTGGCCATATGATGTTTAACAGTTCGTCATTCTGGAGTCTTAGTTTGATACAATTTGAGATGAGAACTGATTTGTTCAACATTTCTTACGATCAGTTATGACGCGTAAATCTTAACAACAATTAATTTTGAGAAATTAGGATTTCTTCGCTAATTTGTTCTCCGTGGGCTTTTCAAGAATTACAAAGTAAAGAATTGGGTCACTTTCTTCATAACTTTCATAGGGATGTTTATCTGAGGACTAATCATTTATAAATTCTATGTAAACTACCTATGGATAAATTTCTCTAGATGTCCTTGTACGGTATGGCCTTTCCATCGAGGAACAACATATGTGCAGCTACTGAACATGAATGAATACTGATCACACCTCGACTTCGTTATGATTACTAGGTGTTCTGTTCGATTGTTTTATGAGGTACACAACTAAATTTATTTTATTACAATAAAGTAAAAAGATCAATTGTTCGAACCGTGAATCACGCACTACCCTTGTTTAAAAACATCAACCTAGCAATCATATGTGCTTCAAGATAGCTAGTTAAATTTATTTCTTATTAATAACAACCTAATATTTTCAAAGAACTGCAAATATACTATGAGGTATAAAGTAACCGGATTCGCATCTGCTTATTATTCCAGACACTGGTTAATTACCAAAAAATCTTTATTCTTAAGAAAACAGTAATAGTTTATTGATTCCACATATCTTCCAGTATGTAGGAAGTCAATGTACTAGGCGTCTGTGTGACCTAAATAAAAAATCAATGAGAAAAGGCAGACCACTTTATTTATTATTTAATCAACCAATCATCTTAACACAATTGCTTGTGTGCTTTATAAAATGCATAACCATACATCAATATAACTTTATGTAGGGATATCATGAAAATGTTAGGGTGTAATGTAACTATCTAGACAATAAAATGATGTTCCTCTGCAAAATCACGTAAACCTTATACTGTGCTATTCTTGTTATTAAAACTACAACAAAATGTTCAATTTCACTCTCTTTCAACGTTAGTGATTGGTCAGTTCAAAACATCCCTAATTTTAAGGAGTTCCAGTAATGTAACAAATTTTTTTCATAATTTAAATAACCATCCATTTTTCTCTATTCAACATAAAAGATTGAAAATTCAAAAATCTTTCGAGTATTTTATATTCTAGTAGAAGGATTCTTTACTTGAACCATTATTGTTAATGTGTTAATATCCTTGTAATTATTATTATTATTATTATTGCAATCATTAATAATAACATTGATGGCACTTGAACCAGTAGTAATTAGTCTTCGCAGAGCAACATCAGATAAATCCTGGGGATTTGTATTACAAGGTGGTGTTGATCAAGGCTTGCCAGTATTTGTCCATAAAGTAAGTTATTATATACTTTTGCATTTTGAGGTATGTATATTATTACTTGATTGTTGTTAGATAACTGGTGATCAGCTAAATGATATGAACTCAGGTTTTGAGTTAATTCACAATTGCTATCAGGATGTATTTTTCCTCTTGAAGGAACTGATGGTTATCACTGAGTTCAAACTGATGTCACCCAGTTTCACAATTAAAGATTACCAATGATCTATTTGACTCTTGTAAAATATTTTGCAGATCTAAGAGTTTAACATCTGGTCAGCTAAGGGTAATAATCGTTCATTTAACTGTGTATCGCCTTTTATGGTATACACGTTAGATAGAAGGCAATCTAACTGAGCACTGTGTGAAAATTCGAATTCGTTGCATTAGTTGAACCGAATTTGATAACTGAAAGTCAATCATTTTCGTACTGCTTATTGACCAACTTTTAAAGAAAAGTTCCCAAAGTATATATGGTAGCGTTGGTTTATAAAATTTATAAAATTCGAATTATCAAATGTTTTTTTAGCCAATATGGTAAATGTGTTTATGTAGTTGGCTACAGTTTGTACAAAAAACTAAACTACTGTTTACTAAAAAAATGATCCCTTGAAGTTTCCTCAATGGATAAGATTTACTTGGTATAATGGTTTTCTTAAAATGAAGTCAAATTATTCTTAACATGACCAACATATCGTGTACGGTTGAGTTATAAATTCTTGCTTCACTGTAAGCAGTATAACTGTAATTAAATTAATAGTGCAAACATGCAAAGACAAAAATCCCAAGTTTCGTCTAAGGAAACGGTTTTTATTAGGGAATAAAATCAACTAAGGAATCAATGGAAACTAAAGAGCACTGAACAGCTATTTCATCTTAAACACTGTAAATCCACGACCTCACTAGAAATTTAATTCAGAACCTATAGGCTTCACAATGAGGGTGTTACCTTTAAACCAATTAGTTAGAATCTAATTACCTATATTTTCAACAACAATCAATTCGTAATGTAGAGTGACCGTCATTCATTGTGAGCGCCTTCTCTCTCCTTCTCAACATATACTAGAACGAAGCAGCTGTCAAATTCTCCCTAGTTATCTGTAGTTTTTCAGATTATAATAACTTGTAATTTGGACCATATTCTCATTGAACTAATCTTCACAGCTTACTCAACTAAATAAAGCTTAATTTTTTAGATCTGTAAGATGAATGAATCGAATAGATTTATATATTTAATAAAAAAAAAAGAAAACATGTGGATACTGTACAAAGACTAAGTGATGTACTGTTTTGACGAAAACCAATATATGAAATGAAAAACACTTCCAGAAAAAATTTCATTGAACAGTTCTTTTTGTAAGTTGATTTAATTTCAATTTATACCACAATAGTACTTAATTCCACCTGTTACTTCTTGTGGAGGAGCATAGGTCCCTAACCAGCATTCTACATTCAACTCCATCATGGGCAATCCTTTCCAGTTGTTTCCACTTATTATTCATTCCTTTCATGTCTGCTTCCGATTCCCAACGCAGTGTGTACTTTTGTTTTCCTCTTTTATGTTTCTCTTCAGAATTTAAAGTTCGAGCTTGCCTCGTGATGTGTGTCCTATCCACTTCCAACGTCTTTTTCTAATTTCTTCTTCAGCTGGAAGTTGGTTTATTCTCTCCCATAGTAGGTACCATCTTTTAATGAGCGAAAGATTTAGTGAACTTTTTAAAAACAAAATGTACATTACATATGAATGAATACTTTGTAGAAATTTCATAAGAGTTTTCTTTCAAAGATACCTCTTTAGATTTGTTTAATTTTATTCTATTTAAGATATTAAAATAACTTATGTATACAGAATATCACTATTTTAAATCAATATAAGTGGAATATCACTGGTTGAAATCATGAGTCAATTGAAGCTAGACCACAACGGAAATTCCGGAAGCACTGAACGGCCCTTCCGTCCTAGTACGGAACTTCTCAGCAGTGCGCATCCACGATCCCAACCCCCGCGAGATTCGAACCCATGACCTATCAGTCTCGCGCACTGCTGGGAAGTCCCATACTAGGACCAAACGGTCGTCCAGTGCCTCCAGGTTTTCCATGGTTGTCTAGCTTCAATTGACCTATGATTTCAACCAGTGAAATTTCTAAAAAATCTCCACAAAACCCATTCTGATAATAATAAATAGAACATTTTTAAAATATAAGTAGACAAATATTATCATACTGTTTTTTTATTCATAGTTTTAAAGTAAATTCAGCAAGACTATAATTCATGAACGAACCAATCAGATTTAGGATAACAGGTCTTGGATTTTGGCGCAGAATTCATTCACTCATTCGGTCAAATATCTGTCTTGGCATTTTAGCTGATATAAGTTCGTTATGAAATACCGTAAATCTAATTCCTAACCTTAATCATAAACTGTCGATTCAAATCTCGTAGTAGTAGAGTATAAGCAGTAATCGGAGAAAAATTGTAAAGTTGATTAGAATGAAAGGAATTGTTAATTATGATAAGTAAACTTTATCAGTAATAGAAACTAAGTAATTAGGCAATGAATGATTCTGCAGAATCATAATTTCAAAGAAAATTTACTGTTTTTGAATTCTGTTGGGGTTTGTGTGATTATTGTAACCAACGGTCAGAGGTAATGGGTGACATAATTGGTAATTGGCTATGATGACTTACATGCGTTCACTATTTACCTTCTCTTAGATTTGGAATTTTAAAATTGTCTTGTACGTTTTTATTTATTGAATTCATTCTTATTACTTGAATCGTGCTGTCGATGTGTAAGATATTTTACTACCAATGATACTGTTGCTATTTTAACTACTCTAGTATTTGTATGCTAATGTGGTGTGGGAGTTTGAACTGATGTACAAATATACCAGGTTTTATGTTTAGTATGATAGGCTAACTTCGAGTAACGATACGTTAACTAAAAATATTACCATGCGAATAATGAAGGTTCCCATCACGACAGTATTATTAAGACTTGGGGATATCACATAACTGACACCTATTTCTGTCGGTCGTTTTGTTTTGCATATTAATATATGTATTGTGATGTTCACTTGCTTCATCGTCTTTTCTCGAAACACATAAAGTCTTTAGCAAATCTTATATTTTCTCTCCGTACTTTCATGTAAATAATATTGTTGAGGTGTCGTTATATGCTAGTCATTATATACATCTGTTGGCGTTAGATCCGGTATCATATTTTGAACCGGATAAAATTACACTAACCATTATAATTACTCTAAGAGATTCAACACAAAACATTATGAACTCATAAGATTGAGTAATCATATATAAATAAATTGAGGAGATAGAATATACTGAACGAGGAAACACCTTGTTATCGCCGTAATCTAGTATAGTTCATAGTATAAGTAAACCCTAGAGGTTAAAACTTGCTCCTTTTAGTTTTTTCGGTTTGTAAATAACTTGTTTGTCAAGTCAAAATCGTATGAACAGGTATTTTAGCTAACATAGCTCTGTTGGGTTGTTAGGATAAGTAAACTCGAAAAATCTGTCAAGGTACCAGCTATATCCTAGTCATTCATGTTAAATCTATAAATGTGTGTGAGCAAAAGAATATTTTGCAAAATATTGTTCGATTACTTGTAAGTTTAACATTTTTGGTGTAAGAGTATCAGATATTTTTGTAAATTTCTCTATCTGCTGATGAAAACTAATCTGTTAAAATAATTGTAAACAATCAATTTCCATGGTAAAACTCACGAATCGATCCGGGCTAGATCACCAGTGAAAACATGGAAGTACTGGACCGCCGTTTCGTTCTAGTATGGGACTCCTCAGCGATGCGCAATCACGACCCCACGCAGGACTCGAGCCCAGGACCTACGGTCACGTGCGCATATGCTTAGCCTCTAAGCTTTTAAGCCAGTATTCAATGATGTAGAAGTCTAACTTAGATCAACTCGTGATTTCAATAAAACTCAATAATCTCCACAACATCATACATCCATATGTTTTATTTCAGTTTAGTAAAATTTACTTCTTTTTTGTCGTCTACATTTATATAGTCACAAAATAATATTTGATACTTAGATTTCCCCAGGAAAAAATATACATTAAGACTAGATGGAATATGTTTATTGTAATCATTTTTTAAATAGAAATATTCTGCCTGAATAGTATATTAATAATGAGAAACCACTAATATGACATAAGAGTATGATTTTCATAATCTTCATTTAAACTCACCTAAATTTATCAGAAAAAGAAACCTTGTTTCACGAAAGTGAATTGTCAGAAAGGATAACAGAATTCTATGATGAATGTATGAGATTAGGAAGATTTTCACAAAATTCTGAGTTTGACTGTGCAATATTTAAAGGAATGAAAAGATAATACAATGTAGGTAGTTGATTTGTTTTATTTAAAAAATAGAATGTCTAAGTGAGAAAATTTATTTTTACTTATTTACTTACTTACGCCTGTTACTCCTCATGAAGGAGCATAGGCCGCTCACCAGCATTCTCCATCCAACCCTGTGCTGGGAAATCCTTTCCAGCTCCTTCCAGTTGTTATTCATCCTTTTCATATCTGCTTCTATTATCCAACGTAATGTGTTCTTTGGTCTTCCTCTTTTCCGCTTCCCTTCAGGATTCCAAGTTAGGGCTTGTCTCGTGATACAGTTTGATGATTTGCGTAATGTATGTCTTATCCATTTCCATCGTCTTTTCCTAATTTCTTCTTCAGCTGGAAGCTGGTTTGTTCTTTCTCACAGAAGGCTGTTGTATTTCTATTTTTTAATATAAAATTGATACTACTAATAACAAGATACAAATAATTAAAGGTATGGTGTAAATCAATAGATTTTCATGAAGAACTTGAATACTTCTGACAGATCAGAAGTGTTCAGAATTCAATTCAACATTCCATTTATCATCAATGTTATATGAAATCTTGCAAGTAATACCAAAGTAGTAAATCTGATACTTAAAAAAAAATAATTTATACAGTTTATCAGGCATTTTTTAGG